AAGACATGTAGGTTGTTCAGTTCCATTCGTTACCATAGACTTCTATAGACGGAGCATTAGCTACGACTCTGGGCAAGAGGGGTCTGATATTCGGGGCGCGGGAGGACTCATCTGACATCGACTCTTTCCGGTGAGATTCGGTAATATTCGGTTCACATTTCCAATACGTGTGCACACGTATATACGGCGCGTTGCTTGTGTGCGAGCGTGCGCGCGCGCGTGGCCGAACGGATCATCCCCACTCCAAGTTGGAGAGGATGATTGGAGGGGACGTGTGCACACGTATTGGAAATGTGAACCGAATATTACCGAATCTCACCGGAAAGAGTCGAAGTCAGACGAGTGATCCCCTTACCGCGATTATCAGTTACCCCTCGTACAAAGGCTCCGTCTATAGAAGTCTATGTTCGTTACCCAACACATTCATGAGCATCTACTTCTATAGCTATAGATATTTGAGTCGTTACTTTCGCCCCGCGTTACTTTTGACCCTGCTTTACCCTACACTGAAAAAAAAATTTATTAATATCAAAAAAATTATACTTGATTTAAAAAAAGCATTTATTTCAATACTCCTAACCAAATATTTGTTTAAAGGAAATAAATATATTTCATTGATTTAAAAAAATATTCTTTAATTTCGAAAAATTATAAACTTAAAGAAAAAACCTAGCAGTTTAATCTCAAAAAAGAAAATTTGAAATTAAAAAACATTTACTTCAATAAAAAAAATTTTATTAAACTTAAAAAAAGGATGTTTAGAATTTACAAAATGTGCAATTTAAATTAAACAAATATTTTTTAAAAGTAAAAAAATTTATTTTTGAAAGTGTTATATTCAAATAAATCATTTATTTGATTATTTATATTTAAATAAATCATTTATTTGATTATTTATATTTAAATAAATCATTTATTTGAATATAACACTTTTAAAAATAAATTTTTCTCTAAGTTTATAATTTTTCGAAATTAAAGTGTCCGTGTGCGCACAGACACGGTCGCTCGCTTGTGTGCGTCATCCCCTCCCTATGCGACCGTGCTACCAAAGGCCACTCTCGGACCATGGTGGAAATAACAAGGTGAAGCATTACGCATAATGGCGGCAGCTTTGACGGTTAAACCAATCAGAAGACGACCCATTTTGTAGGCGCCCACTTTATATTATGAAACATATTATTAAACACATGAAGTAATATGATATCTCAACATTAATTATATTTACTACTTATTGCATATGTAGCTTTGTTCACTTCTTTTTCATGCAATATTTAAAGAAAGGACGTAAACATCAAACGACGTGATGGATGACAGGCGCTGATGGAAGCAGCCATATTACTTTCCTTGCAAAATGGGTCGCGCGATGATTGGCTTACAAAATTGAACGAGTGCGCAGCATCGGGAATGCTTCACCTTGTTATTTCCACCATGTCTCGGACAGCACTGGTCATATCGGCTCGCCTCTTATACTAATACGAGATGATTTTTACTTACGAGAAAGGCTAACGCGCTGTCGCCACGTCGCGTCGCGGCAGTGAGTGGTACTAGTACTATATTGAATAAATGATTTATTTTAATTTAAAAAATAGTTTATTTGCCTTTTACTTATGTTTAAAACAAACAAATATTTATTTAAATAAAATTTTTATATTTAAAGAAATTAATTTATTTATGTTAAAGATATCACTTTTCATGTTACGTTTAAAATTAAAAAAATATTTTTTTAAATCAAAATACTCATGATGTTAAAAAATTATATTATATATTTAAGAACATTTTTTTGAATTTGAAAAACGTTTTCTTGAATCTACAAATATTTCTTTAAATTTAGGAAACCAAATTCAAAGAAATATATTTTCTTGATTTTAGTAAATTTTTTTCTCAGTGTACAGTCATAAGTGTTAATTGTTGATATCTAACATATGTTTATGGCAAAGTGTGGAATTACTATTTTTCATTGTAAGGTTGATATAATTTTATTACAATGTTTCCGAGGGTACACATTTTGTTATAATATTTACTATCACTTTTATTGCAATGCTGTCCTACATTTTTGTACTATTTGGGAGTCGTGTGTGCGTGCGCGCGCGCGCGCGTGTATGTGAAATTTTACCTCTGATAGTGAGTCAATATTTGCTGAACCTCAATATGGAGAAAGCAAAAAAAACGTCAATATAACGAAAGGAAAATCCCGAATTTCTCTTTATACCAGGTGTACAAGTTTAAAATGTCGTTTTTCTTCCAAGAGATGGCACACAAAGCCTGTTCATTTTTGTGTCGAACCCAAAGTGATATTTTGTAGCTATGACAGCTCGCTAATAAACGCGATATTCGTTTGTTTGTTTACAGGTTAGTAGCATACTTCTTTTCGGTAGTAAACATGTCGGAGTTTGAGGCCAATAAAGAGCATTTGCGGCACGTGCTGATTTTCTTGTTCAATCAAAAGAAAAAAAGCATCGGAAAGTCATCGAATTCTTGTGGAAACTTACGGCGAGCTTACTCTAACCGCCAAGACTTGTGAACGCTGGTTTCAACGATTCAAAAGTGGCGATTTTAATGTCATTGACAAAGAACGCGAAAATCGACCAAAAAAGTTTGAAGATGTCCAATTGCAAGCACTGTTGGATGCAGACGATGCACAGACACAAAAAATGATGGCAGAGCAATTAAATGTCACTCAGCAAGCCGTTTCCGATCGCCTGAGAGCCATGGGAAAGATACAAAAGGTTGGAAAATGGGTTCCACACGAACTGAGCGAACGACAGATGGAAAAACGAAAAACTGTGTGCGAAATGCTGCTTCAACGCCACGAAAGAAAGAGATTTTTGCATCGGGTTGTGACGCGATGAAAAATGGATTTATTTTAATAATCCCAAACGCAGAAAATCATGGGTAACACCAGGACAACCATCAACATCGAGTGTAAGACCAGATCGCTTCGGGAAGAAGACAACGCTGTGTGTGTACGGTGGGATCAGAAGGGTGTCGTGTACCACGAGCTTCTCAAGCCTGGTGAAATAGTTAATACCAACCGCTACCGGCAGCAAATGATCAATTTGAACCATGCGTTGATCGAAAAACGGCCAGAATGGGCTAGAAGACATGGCAAAGTCATTTTGCAGCATGACAACCCTCCTGCACATTTGGCCAAACTGGTCAAAGACACCATTTCCGCCCTTGGTTGGGAACTCTTACCCCACCCGCCGTATTCACCGGACTTGGCTCCTTCAGATTATCATTTGTTTTCATCGATGGGACACGCACTGGCTGAGCAGCATTTCACAACATTTGATGAAGTTGAACAATGGCTTGATGAATGGATGTTGATGAAGGACGAAACTTTCTTTTGGAATGGCATTCATAAATTGCCTGAAAGATGATCAAAATGTATAGAAAACGATGGCCGATATTTTGAATAAAAAATCTTTCGCCATTATTTGTAAATTATTGTGTATATTTAATGAAAAAACGATATTTTTAACTTGTACACCTGATACGTTATATGTCTGTATAATGCAAAGCATATATATTTTGTTAGCCGCACATGACAAGTGCGTCTCGCGTATGTTTCGTGCAGTTTAATTATATAAACCTCTTACAATGCGTAGGAATGTATTTAAGGCCCGGTTTCATCAAACGTCGCTTAACTTTTATCTTAGTTTAATTCACGTTTGTCTCTTTCTAAAAGTAACTTTCAAAAAGTAACAATTGGAAAGAAAGAACGAACGAATTAAGCTAAGCTTGAAGTTAAACGATGTTGGTAAAACCGGGTCTAAGTGGTATAATAGATAAAAAGCATTCCTACGTATAAGTTCCTATTCCCTTGTTTATTAAAAAAAATTAGCGTTAGTGTCATTTTTTATAAATTCGCGCACATAAATATTAAAACAAATATATACTTATTACTAATTATTCATCACCGATTATTGTTTCAGATATTTGACTCTATCTATAAATGTATATTTGCATAAATTGTGGAACCGAGTGCAAAGAGCTTTTTAGGAGATACTGCCCTAGTGTCCTGAAAATTTTAAAATGTGTAAGTTAAATGTAAACCCATGTGCTTACACCGTGCATTATACACAATTTTGCGTTTATTTTAGGAGAAATGTGGATTGCTAGCTGACAAGTACATCGAATTCGATCCTGTTATAGTCTTCGTAGACCTGATTCTGATAGAAAAACCAGCTTACAGACATCTTTTATACAATAGTAATTTTAAGTCTTATTGGAAAATAGGTATAATATTGTGGCTAACTGAATCATTCAGGGCCTGGTCTTTCTGCGACATAAAGGAGACGGAACTGACTGCGTCGGAAGTGAATTTAGTTAATAACGACGCATTACAAGATCAATGCAATTTTTACAATTTGCTGATACACACAGCACTCGCCTTTACAGCGTTTATTTGTACAGTTATTGTAGTAACTGAATTGAAATGGTTCATTATTGGGAGGAAACCATACAAATACAGCACAAGAGATCTAAGTCACGCTCTAATTGTCGGAGGTTGCGGTAAATTACTGGCATTTCTGGGAATAGTGTGGCGGCACATAGCCTCGGGTCCGTACTACCTTCTTATTCAAGGATACACCATTTTATGTCTCTTAACTGCGTACTCAGGTAAGAATTAAATCCATTCAACAACATACACTTACATAAGACATTCATAGTTTTATTGCAACTTCAAAATTCACATTCTATTTATAATTTATCTTTGATCAATTATTTAATAGTACATATATCTATTTATAATTTATCTTTGATCAATGTTTAATAGTACATATATCTTGGTATTTTTTTTTCTATCGCAGTTGTCTGCAAGAGCGGAAGGGGAGGATCTTTGATTGGATTAATTGCTGGATTTTTACTGTATGGTTACATATGTACTTCCATTTCTACATTGCACCTAAATATTCCCAATATCACACTAACATGACACAAAATACCTGATAAAACCACACAGTTTTTGATATTTAAGCATCTTTAACGGGAAGAACACTCCAACCTAATACTAGTCTATCGAAACCACAAGAAAATAAATTACATACACTGTTATCTTCTAACCAAGCGACAGAGCACACCATTCTACGATGACCCTGTAAATGTAAATGTATCATTTTTTTTTAAATAAGCTGTACTTGTAATATATGTACATATATAAAACAATCAAAGAATAAACGTGATCGCTTTATTTATGCACATTAGAATTACGATAAAATATGAAATAGCAAATATATGAATATTTGAGTTTATTATATCTTATATAATAATGCTTCAATATTCAAGATCATTTATAATAAAATTGTATGACTCTTTATAGTCTCAACAATCTCAAATTCTCCTTTTACTCGTCATTACAGACAATATATATGAGTAACGATTAATTTAGTCGACTAGCTAATTAAAAAGATTCCATAATAATAAAAAGTATGTAATGCTTCCTTACTTGTCTACTGGTTCTAGGTAACCTTGCCAAACGTTGACCACTCAGATCAAATAAACGTATTTGTCTATTGTCATGTGGTATTGCCACTGTCCCGGTACTAGAAACTGATAGTCTATTAGCAGCACTATCCCCACGTATTGTCGCTAATGGACTACGTATGTTACGCAATTCCCATACTTTTACGCTTCTGTCATCCGAGCCGGATACAATTTTGTCTTCTCTCGTAAAGACTGCGGACGTCACAGTTCTGTAAGGGACGAAATGCATCAACGTTATTATATTTAACGTTGTGTGAAGAATAGAGACAAACCGAAATATTAATTACAAAGAAAACCGGCTAATTTCAGATACACGTACTCTGTATGACCTTGAAACACCGACACCGAGTGTATCGGTTCTCGAAAGTCCCACAATCGGAATGTATTGTCTCTGCTGGACGTAACGCACAACTTCTGCGTATGATGCGTCGACACGTGGGTCAATTCTTGATCGTGTCCGCATAGCGTGTGTATAATCTCGCCGGTTTCTGTGTCGTACAAGTTCGCCGTTCTGTCCCAAGAAGCTGTGACCAACTGTTCAGCACCAGAGAGCCAATCCGCAGCCATTACAACGTTTGTATGACCTAGAAGCTCGCGTATCGGCGTCCTTAGAGTTGGAGGATCGTCTTGCTCGTCGTTATTACTGATATTATTAACGGCGGATCGTTCCAAACTGACTACCGACATTTCTTCCAACGACGGTACTCTTTTCGGCATGTCCCAATCAACGGCTGCCTGCCATACGTGAGCGGAGCAATCGCCACTCGCCGATAGAGCCAGTTCTCTATTTGGATGAAATCGAACAGAGTTGACGGATCCACTGTGACCGATGTATTGTAACAGACACCGACTGTTATCTATTGCCCATATACGCGCTGTGTGATCGGCAGAGGCAGTTGCTACGATGGGTTGACCCGATCTGCCCACAGACACCTCCCACACACCATCTCGATGACCTACGTACTCTCTTTGCATGGTGCAAGTCATAGACGGGGTTTTAAAGCTCGATACTATCTTACTAGTCTGTGCTTTTAACTTGTGAGAAGTTTTAATCTTTTGCGCCGAGTTCGCACCCATTGCTAAAAAGATAGAGATTATTACAATCCGAGAAAACGGAATATCAATACTGAAAAAGTATTGTTACTAAATTTTAAAAAATTATTACCATATACTAACTATGTTATCTTTTGTATCATTCTTATAAAATCTCCTGGAATACATAGAGGAATAGATGGAAAGTATAGTGTTACAAAATTATATAATAGAGATTATAAAACAGGATGCATGTGCTCGAGTACTTGAAAAGATTGATAATACTACGGAATTGAATAAAAAACACATAAAAGTTAACTTAATAACAAATGAAAATAATTTCCAATATAGTTTAACGAATATTCTATATCTGTAAGTCTTCTGAGTGTTGTAATATTCGGTGCGTGTAAACTATCTTTTTTCCTTCAACTTCTTGTGTAATATATAAATTAAAGTGCATGTAACACTGACATTAATATCAAGGTAAGTCTTACATTTCTGCTTAGACAGATTTTTTGTTTCCGGATAATCTGTGAGGTCTCCAGGAGGCAAGCTGCGCTCACCCGACCCATAACACTCTCTCTCAAGTCTGTCATTTAAGATGTCAATTTTCTCTTGCACTACAACGTGAGAAATGTAACAGCTTCAATATGCACATCGAATTGTAGCGAAGTAAGCGAAGCGGGGATACTCACGCCCAAGATTTTCTGTGTATAACATTTCAAATTCTTTTTCAATTTGTTGAAAGAGATCATACAAACGGCATCGCAGGGCCGGTGGGATAGGATTATTGTCCTCTAACTCGGAACGGAAGGTGACATAGTGCAACGCAGTCGGTTGCAGCGGGGTCGAGCCGCTCTGGCTCTGTTGCGACTGTAATTCTGTGTCAGTGCTACTTTGTACACGAGGTATGGAGATCCTCTTTGCCTTGCTGCTGGATTTACTTCCAGCTGTGGCTGGTGGTTCGCCGGGCATGACTCGTCACTTAACAAAAATGACACAAACGGCAGACAAGTCTCAGCATGTCTCAGTGATTTGTCCCCGTGGCACACATCGCCGATCACTCTGACTTTAATGCAGGACTGCGGCCTGCATTACTGATCAAGCTTGCTGTACACAACCTGTCAACAGAATATATCAATTACAAGCGGCGAAAGTCAAACGTCGGACCTAGGGTTTGGCGAGTGCAATGTCGGACAGAGCCCACACAGCACAGAAAGATTGCAGGAAGATTGCAGAAATGTTACATTGCAAGATTGCAATATTGCGCAACATTGCAGCAACGTTGAAATGTCCGCCCTCAGACAGATTATAGCAATGTTGCGGTGCAATATTTTTGGAATAATTTGTTGTTGTACATAAGCAGAGAATTTACTAATTATATATGCATCCAGGTCTTTTTCAATACACAGCAAGCTATTGTGAAGAAACCTAAGGAGATTATGTCGCTTCGCAATAGATGTAGATTGTGAGCAACACCGCACTGATCAAGTACTTAATAATTCGCGCATTACTGGTATCAACGAAAATAACATTATAAAATTCTCGTAATTAGAAACATTTTTTAAATAGAAAATATAGTATTTTTATTATTTTTGAAACATTGCTGCAATATTGCTATCGAAAGTTTGCAATTTTATATCCCTGCAATGTCTGCAAGATTGCACTGCAATCTGCAAGATTGCAACGTTTCTGCAATGTAACTGCAATCATCTGTGCTGTATGGGAGCTGTGGACAAAATGTAGTGATACGTTAAAAGACACCTCGTCCGAGTTCGAGGCTAATAATCTATGGGCGCGCGACAGATATTTAAGACGTGATCGGGCCACATAAAACAATGGGACACTAAGATCGCCTTATCGAAAACGTTTCTCGTGATCGAACCTTAGCAGGTACATTACCATTTTGCAGGTACGATCTCAAACATTGATCCTGTCTCACGTCGCGCTTCTCCGAGCGATACCATTACGTTGACTGCACCCGAGATCACCGCTGGTTTTCTCAGAAAAGAATGTGTCTTCGATGATACGCGAGATTATCGTTTACCGAAGTCTATTTCTTCGAGATGGGAGATAGCTTAGCTATTTCAAGCAGCAAGATAATTAAGCTCGAATGACACGTAGCTTATTTACGATCCTGTCGCTGATCGTCGCGCGTTCTTTCCACGTCAGAGCAGTTATCGACTGAAAATTCGTGTCCGCAGAATCTTGCATTTATTTTCGGTACGTCGTGGCACGTCTTCCCTCTCCTCATCGATACCGAGCACCATGTTTATTGCGTTCTACACGCGCAGTGAATTGATGTATGTAGATAAATGCGGAGAACCGCGCGCATCACCACCAGCTCGCGGCGGCGACTGCGACTCGCTACTCGCGTCGCGACCAATCGCAATTAGAGCGTAGCAAATCGCAATCGTATGTACAAGGTCTGGGGCTCGATATTCGCTCATACTTGACGCCGACTGAATGTATTTTTAAATAATTTCTATATGCAATCGTTTGTATTTCGTATGTAGACGTTTCTAGTGCAATTAGAAAGGTTTGTGAGTCATTCGTTTGTTTGTAATTAATTAATTATTTTTCCACCGTATACTTAGCGCAATAGATAAATTAGATAAAATTTTTATATGAAATCGTTGGTATTTCGCATGAAGACGTTTGTAGTACAATTAAAAAGGTTTGTGAGTGATCCAGATAATTTTAATTAAATGCACCATTCAGCACTCAGGATTCCTAGTAATTTAGTAAATCGCAGCAGCGGGCTTAATTTGCTGCTGCTGCATGCTGCGTATGAAAAGGCACCTATATGTGGCTATGTTGTTGAAGTCCCGGAACGTGACAAGCAATTCTTATGTCTTAAATCATTCAGTATCATAGATAGGAAATCAATTAAATTTTGAATCCGGCTACCTTCCATTTAATAAATATTTAATTAAAATTATCTGGATCACTCACAAACCTTTTTAATTGCACTACAAACGTCTTCATACGAAATACCAACGATTTCATATAAAAATTTTATCTAATTTATCTATTGCGCTAAGTATACGGTGGAAAAATAATTAATTAATTACAAACAAACGAATGACTCACAAACCTTTCTAATTGCACTAGAAACGTCTACATACGAAATACAAACGATTGCATATAGAAATTATTTAAAAATACATTCAGTCGGCGTCAATTTAAGTATGAGCGAATGGGCTCGATTCTTCAATTCATTCGTAAAGCCTCCGCTACAATGATTCTCGGTTCTGTCTACAATGGCCGTAGTCGTAAGAATAATCGACTGCGATTGGTCAATTCTTATCGAGCGACTACGACTACGACCATTGTAGACAGAACCGAGCGAATCATTGTAGCGGAGGCTTTAAGCCTCGTCTACATAGAAGTCGTAAAGTCGTAGTCGTAAAAATAGTCGACTATGATTGGTCAATTTTTATGTGTCTGACTGAATTGACCAATCGCAGTCGACTATTCTTACGACTACGACTTTACGTCTTCTATGTAGACGAGGCTTAAGGCTGGGTCTACATTGGATGTCGTAAGTCGTGTCGGAAGAAATTGACCAATCACAGTTCATTATTCTCGTTACGGTCGAAGAATAATGAACTGTGATTAGTCAATTTCTTCCGACACGACTTACGACATCCAATGTAGACCCAGCCTTACTGTTTCGCTAGGCTATTTGAAATTTCAAGGATTGGATTTCCGAGAATTTCGAACTTCAAATCGTAAAAATCGCAAATCTCGAAAACTGACAAAGTATCAGGAGAACATGATCAGCAAAGAGATGGCACTATCTAAAATTCCAAGAATTGGATTTCCGAGAATTTCATTCTTCAAAACGCCAAAATCGAAAATCGCAAAACTGG